GCGCGAACTAATTAGGGTAATTTCTGTTTGAAGTATTATGCACTGCAATGAAAATAGAACAGATAAAAGATGAGACAATAATAGATCTAAAGAGGACCTTGACTGAATGTTGTTCCAACAAAGACCATTTTGTTTGACACAATTCACATTGTCTACTAAACTGATATGCTCTCCCAACTTTATAAGACGGAGGGGGAAAAAAACATAATATAAAACAAAATATGCTAAATATGCATTGTGTTCATCGACACTTTGTATCTCACCACCACTGTAGATCATTAATATTTTTAGTACCTCCTTCAGATTGACTACTGGTCTTTACAGAGGGAGATGAGGAATTGAAATCCACTGATGATAAATTATGCCGTGTGTATAGATATATTCCTGCCTTATATAACATGCAAAATGTAGTATCTAAAGTGAGAGACAACTGAATTCAGGTCACAGCGCAGCAGGAAATCTTCCTTTTCATGTGAGATCCAGAGGGGTCACTCTTATGAACTCATTAGGAGAGAAATGCTAATGTAGCTCTGTTTTTTCCTCCCCTTCTTCCTTCTCTCTCTTTTTCTCTCCACTCCCAACTTTCCTGGTTATATTAACAACCAGGGCTGCGATGCACAGAGCCACGCTGGAGAATATCATGCATTGTGATGTCAAGGGAAAAGTGTGTAAGGTGGTTGTGACAGCGTCTTCATTAGAGAGGCTGACGATTGTTGCCTTGTCATCAGGTCGCTAAACTAGAATCATTACACAGCAAACCAAAGCTGCATCTTTATCTATGCTGGCTTATTACTGATGTACTTATTCTACTGCTGCCAACAATATTTATTAAATATATACAAAAAAAAAGACTGGAAAAGAAAATCTATAGGCTATTGCTCAACAAAATATGTACATCAGTGGTGAACAAATGACCCCTCCTCACAGGCCTTCTAACTAGGAAGATAGACTTCTCTGCAGTGGTCTCTCATCATGCAGCAGAGGGCATTAAATAATGAATCTCTCACTCACTCTCTCGCTTCCCCTTTTCAAGACCAGAATATAAAATTCTAGTTAACTTTTAGGTGAGTTTAAAAAATGTCCAGTGACAGGAAACACAATTAGCTCGATAAGATGAGACAAGATGTTCCTTTATTGATATTAATTACGTAACATTTGGAATAATAAGCTATTGGTTTACCTCGTAAGTCGCTGACGTTTGCACCTTATTCAACTTACATTTATGATTATTGAGATGTCTGTGATACCTCCTACCTTATGTGCTTCTTAAAAAATGTACTGTGTGTTTTTTATGATTTAATTTTCCAGCAGTGAACGCCTGTCTACATCTTGATTAACCCCTTTGTTGTTTGCTGGGGTCCCACATGTGTATGTGTATGCTGTATGTGTAACAATAATAATTACAACTGAAAAAATCAACCTATTCTTTTTAACATCTTCTGCATTTATTAAAATATAAAAGCATTAAAGTGATATCTCTTCCATTTGCCACAAACTTGGCATAATGGACATAAATGACCACAGCTATATATTATGTATGTTTTATATATTATATGGGCTATGCATTAAGAAAATATATATTTAATTGTATGCCAAAAAGCCAGTATATTATCTTAAATTGTGGCATTACTTATATTTCCGAGATCTAATTCTTAACTTCAATTACAGAAATTCAGAGGGCAGTAGTCGGAGACCTTAAACACAAGTATTGTGCCATTTTCTGAAATGTCATCAGCCCAAAATCCTGTTTATAATCAATTCTTATAAAAATAGCAAACATCATGAAGTTTCAAGGTGATAAAACTATTAAGCGTGTTTTTTGAGCTGTTAAAGAGGGCTTGGGGCCTTGAAGACCCCCAAACAGAATATTAGGATTAAGGTTATCCCTAACAAAGTTGGATTTTATAATACGTTACAATGCCAATAAACCAAAGCCAAAAACCAAACATGAATCATTCAGTCCTATGATTTATTTAATCTGGTTCATTTTTCACAGTTGGATCTCTTCACCTCTTACCTCAGGCCCTGAAGGCCTGTACTGTCTCTTTTTAGTTTCTTAATAGGCCTACCAAAAATTGTTTCCCCTCCTTGATTTCCCCTTTTCTCCTAATTTTATGATTAAGACCATATCCAAGGTGAATGCTGTAAAAGACTCAGAAGGAAAAGAAAATATATATATATATATTTCAAGGCAATGAGGTTGTTCCTAGCCTGGTTTTAGGCTGGTGTTGGATGTTGGTAGCTTCACTTCAGATTGTGCCAGAAAAAAAAAGAGAAAAAAAAGTGGTGGATAATTAAATTAAAGAAGTACTGTAATTAAGTAGAACCGACATTTTCTACAGAGCAGGAAGGAAAACAGCCAGAGTTTTTATACCTTGTATCACATTTTTTTTCTTCCTCTTAATTTTTTGGCTGAAAACAAGAAATATAATGTTAAAGGATTCCTCTTTTTTTTAATGAAAGGTTTTTGGTTGTTCGGGTCTGCCTGTGTGAAATCTTTCTAATTAACTCTCTCTCTCTCTCTCTCTCCTGTGTGTTCCTGCTATTTACGCGCGCTGTGTTTTGGTCCCTGGCTATCCCACGTGGCGTGGCGTACTCGCGCGAGCGCCGCGTGTGTGCGCGCGTTTTTCCCGCTGGATACTCTGGAATGCAGCCGAGTCTCGGCCTCTTTTGAATCCACGACTCGGCTGTTCCGGGGCCAAAACGCGACAAAGCGCCTTTGATCTTTTTCTCTCCTCTCTCTCTCTCTCTCTCGTCTCTTCTCCTCCGTCTCTCTCTTCACTCTCTCCTCTCTCTGCCGTCTGTCTCCTTTGACCCGGAAAGAGAACCCCCCTTCTCTCTCTCTCCCTCTCTCTCTCTCCTCTCGTCTCTCTCGTCTCCACCCTGTCTCAGCTGGGATGACGCACCGTGGGAAATGTTGGCCCGGCTCCAAACTCGCGTACAAATTTAGCTCATACAAAGGCGGAGGGGAGAGCGCAAGGGGGGAGAAAGAGAAGAGAGGGAGGGAGGGAGGGAGGCGGTGTGGGGGAAACCGGGCGGGGGGAGTCGGGGATGAAAGAGCCAGCCGCCGCAAGATCAAAGGCAGCCGCGGCTCCGCCCCGCTAACCCCACCTCCGCGCTTTATAAAGATCTGCCTCCCCATCCCAACTTTGATTCTCACGCAATCTCTCGCTGCTCAGACAGACACACAGAAAGCACGCCACTTCCACTCTGCCTTTTTGGTTTCTTCTCTTTTTCTTTTCCCCCTTCGTATTTTCTCATGAAATATTCGACTCAAAGACTTAAAGTCCCCCCCCCCCATATGTTTGTGGCCTTGTTTTTACACGTTTTTTTTTTCTCCCCCGTTCTTAATTAGGCCTAATTGTCAAATTCATTTCTATGGTTCAAATGTGTGTTTTCCCCTCAGTAACAGGCCTGACTGGAAAACAGTTGTGGTGTGCCACTGGTCCTCAATCTGGGTCCTTT